CCCAGGATTTCTGCCCCCTAGTTTCTGGCAGCTGAGAGGAGTGGCCATTCTAACCTCAGCTTGGAATTTACCTCTCCTTCTCTCCTACCTCGCCTGCCCATCTCTCCATATTCTGGTCACTCAGTTATTCACTTCTTCTGTTCCTGTCACTATAGTTGCTGGGCACTGGAGGGCCACAGATGAATGGCAACCATTCCCTGGCCAGGAGGGGCTCATGTTCCTGTGGGGGAAACACACATATGACCACCCCATGCAGTGGGGCTGACAGCAGTCAGTTGTGGTCAGGGGGAGGCACAGGGGCCACCAGGGGCCACCTGGCCCATAGTGTGAGCTCAGACAGGGATTCCTGGGAAGGCTTTCTGGAGGAGGTGCCACCTATCCAGGCTGGATTTTAGAAGAATCAGTGGGAGTCTGCTACAGAAAGAGGCTTTTGTACAGAAGCTTGCACAACAGTGTGAGCTCCATGAGGTAAAGAATTTTGTTTGATTTATTGCCCAATGCCTTTAACAGGGCTTGGTACATAGTAGATGCTCAATAAACATCCTAAAAGAAAGAGAGAAAAAGGAAGGGAAGGAGGGAGAGAAGGAGGAAGGCAGGGAGTCAGGGAGACAGAAAAGGGAGGGAGAAAGAATGACTGAGTCCAGGGTGGAGGTGTGAAACTGCTCCGTGCATTCTGGAAACAGAAAGTACAGTAGTTCCAGGTGGCCAGTAGCTTAGGTGGGTGGGGCTGCGGGAGTGGCCTTATCTAACCCTATTGTTGGTGGTGTCTATTTCTTATCTCCCTGCTGGGCCCAGAGCTACTTTGGGGATGGGACCTTTTCTTCTCTGTGGTCCCTGTAGCCCCTGGTGTGCACGTTGAATGTTAACATGCACACAGGTACTGAACCTGTGTTGGGTGCTGGAGATGACTCAGAGTTAGTTCCTGTCCCCCTCCCCCCTAGTCTGGCTGGGAAGACAGACAGTAAACAACTGGCTACAACAATAGGCAGAATGAACTGAGAGCTACTATGGTGCTTCACACAAAATGAGACCGAGCAGAGGGATGGAGGGATGGTTTTCACTCCAGAAGTGAAAAGCAGGGGTGGGGGCTGTTGTGGAGGAGATGGTATTGGAGGGGATGTTAGCATTAAGGAATGGTCAAAGAACAGGGTGAGGGTCGGAGGCACTCCAGGTACAGAAACCAGGCAGTTCAAGGAGGTGGGGACTGGAGGATCCGGTGGGGAAAGATAAGTTGAGGTTCCAAATGCTACTCTTGGGTGTTTGCACTTGCTTCTGATGTGACTGCATTTTGGATCCTAGTGCCAGCAGCTGCACACCTAGTTGGAGCTGCTGAGTAGTCCTGCTTCCCAGGAAGCCATCAGCTCTCTTCTCTCCAGCAGGCTGGGCCCTCCCACTGTCTCTCTTAGCTCTACCATGAACCTACTGTCATGGGACCTCATTTTGTGTCAAGCCCTAGCAAAGGGACAGAGTACCTGGCACAGGTTCCCCAAAAGCCACCCCTCTTTTCTTGCCACACACACTCTGCAAGGAAATGCTAGTCTTTTTTTCAGGGTGGGGAATAAAACTATTGAAGGGAAATGAGCATCATAGAACATTAGACTTTCAAGAGATAGTAAAGATCTCTTAACCGCCTCCCCCCCCATTCGACAGATGAAGAAAATGATGCACAGATAGGCCTGTGCTGCAGCCCTGACATAGAGCATGGCCGACTTGGTGGTGTCCGAGACTAGTAGCACCAGAGAAGGGCAGTGTTTTCCTTTAGCCAGGACCTAACCGATACTTATAATTTGTGGGCCTTGCAGACCCAAGATGAGTCAGGCTTCTTGTGATTCAGTCTGTTGACAAGCCATCTCTGGCCATTCCTAGCCCATCAAAAATAGAAGTCCAGGAGCAGGCCAATTTAATTAGTGTGGACTCTAAGGTACCTTAAGTTAGCCCTATTAAATTAAACCGCCTAGGGGAAAAATAACTGTAATTATTTCCTTCTCTCCCCTATAGTTGTATTTCGACTCCCTTCCAAACCTCCATGCCTCTCTCATTCACAAAACCACCTTTAAACTAGGGGCTAAGCACACAGACTACGGTTCAGTGTTTCCCTTTTTCTGCTCCCTTCTCCAGAGAGCTCCAGGTCCCGGCAGAGAACAGAGTGCGTCCAGAGGCGTCCCTAGGGCCTGGCTGTATTCTAATTTAGGTAGGCTGTTACATTGAGTAGAACATTATTTCAAAAATGTACCCAGAGTCTCCTTCCTGAACCAATGCAGATCTATTTGCTGCGGGGCATTTCTTTTAAAAGCCCCTTCTCTCTCTTCTACAGATCAAAATAAGCAAACTTCAGTGGTAGGGAATTATTCTTTATTTTGTCGAAATCTAGTTCTGAGTTTTCTTACTTGAAACGTGTTTTCCCCAGGACACTGACCTATCCTTTAATTGTTTGGAGCAAGGCATGTTAGGGGGAGGGGCGTTACTTGTTTATTGGAACAGCGCAGTTAAAAAAAAAAAAATCAACCTAGGCTAACAGTTTCAAGGCTCCCCTAAAGATGTATCCAAACAGGCAGCCAATCAGCGCTTACACAGCTTTTTCTGCTAGACTCTTTTAAAGAGACAGTGCCGACAGTGTTTTATCACATTTAAAGAGAACCGCGCTCTAAAAACAGTCTGAAATGGGGGAGTCCCCCCATTATGCTGGTTTCTGGTCTTAAGACTCTCTAATAAGGGACTCACAGTGTGTCCTCGGGATTCTCGATGTGGGCAAAAAGGAGTCAGCGGCAAATAGCTGGGTCACTCTGCCAGCCCCCCCCTCAATTTCCCATTGTACACCTGGGTCACTGACAATGGAAGCTTCCCCTCCCCCCACGCCTGACTCTCGTCACCCACTCCTCAATTTAGCTCCATTTATTTGAAGTTTGTGGATTTCTGTGGCGCGCATTCCGTGTCGTGGGGCGCCCAGGTGACTCCCCCTTACCCCGGGATGGCACCGTCTCCTGTGGAGAAACCGAGCCAACTTGCTAGGGCTGGCAGATCTTAGAAATTAGGGGGCATTCACTCTCCCCTCTCTTAGCCCAAGTCCCTCATCCCTTCCCCCAGGCTCCCCAAAGCACGCCAAGGGCCATTTTCTCGCGGCTCCACTTTGGGGTTTTCCAAAGTATTTTAATGATCTAGTAAAGGAGTAGCCGCGCGACTCGGCGCCGGCTCCAGCCGCCCAGCTCGCAGCGTGGAGCCCCAGGCCGGGCGCTCGGAAGCCAGAC